AAACGGATGGCTTCAACGAGTGCAATTTATATCTTTGTAGTTGTCTAGAAGAATCGATTACTTTCTTTTGAGTTCTAGTAATTGTATAGTGTGATGGAGAATGAGAGTTGTACCTAGTGTTCACCGCGTGGTTTTCAGGGACTCCTTTTAACTTTGATCTCTCTATGTCAGAACCAGGTTTTGACTTTGGTTTACAACTGCTATTTTATATAAAACATGATTAGACGCTCTGCATCATTAGGCTCAATATTTTGTAGTTCAATTATCGCTACTGTATGGCTAAAATGTCAGGCTAGGTAGAATTAAGTAATTAAAAGTAATTACATAATAGTAAACCTTGAGAGAAAACCATGGAAGACTTTTCGACCAATTCGTACGATGATGAAAGAGGAAGTGCCTCAACAGCTCAGGCCACGGAATATTCCCTTTGGGTCTCCTGAATCCCCGTGTATGAAATTGTTTTATTTGTAAGTAATCTTAGTAAATGTTTTATAATCATTTGAATGGGCCTATATCACACGGCGGCCATGTTTTTTCTCATGAGAATAAAAACCTTTGCTTCTCCAGCATAAATTCATTCTCAAGCGCTTGAATTTGAAGCTACGCGTGATGGAATCTATTGTTCAATCCAACATGGCTACCGCGTGAATAAGGCCCATGATTTTAAAAGTCGTAATCAGATTTTTCAACGTATAAAAAAATTCATGTTACTCGTTTTCTGGTTACTCTGTTTACTCGTTACTGCGTTACTCGTTTTAGTAACAACCTTCTTGGTGCCTCCCCTCCCTCTATGTTTTTTATTGTTGTTGTTGTTAGTGGACCCACATACCCTCAGTCCGCCTAATCTTCACCTCCCCCTGTCTACAGGATATTTTTCCTGTAGTTCGTTTTCCGAGTACAAAATCAAAATTTCGAAAAGTCATTTCAAATATTAATTTTTAATTTTTGAATTCGAATATTGAAAATTGACATTGATGAGATAATTTTCGAATTTTGACATGATCATAAAAAATGAAAATTCAAAAATCAGGCAAATGTCATATATCCAATTCACGCCAACTAAATTGAAAAGCTCTTTGTGGAGTGTTACACGGACCCTTGGGAATCTGTAAG